AGGGTTTTGTTGGAGGTTTTTTTTTATATTATAATCGATCTAGCACCAGAGGCAACCTGTTGAACGTGAGTTCTTCTTTTCTCCTCAACAATGGGTTGTCGTTTGGTACTGGTTTTCAACTGTATTTCAAAGGATCCGTTTCCTTTTGCAACAGAACACCGAGATATGTTAATGCTTACTCGTCCCTTTTATTGCCATGGACAAAGATCAAAACGAAGAAACTAACTCAGTGTGTAAACACATGATCAAATTGCATCGACTGCGCCGTGAAACAAGAACTCAAAAGCCCTGCAAATACTGTATACGCTAAGGTGGTTGATAGTTAAAAAATCTCCTACTTCCTTTCTTCCCCACTAATTTGGCTTCTGTCTGTCTGACTTGCTTTCCTTAGCACCTCTACGCGACTGTTATTGTGTCAATGCGCTTGCTACTCGTTTCTCAAACAAGCAATGGACCTACCCACGTTGTTGTCTTTTTTAAAACTATCAACGGTCACTACTTGATCACTTTGGACTGTCTTGCACTATCATTTAGCGAGGATCTCTTTTTATAAATCTCGTGAGTGGCCTAATTTCTGTGATTGCGAGTTCTTTTCGCCATACTTATTTTTTCTTCTATCCAACTCCATTTCGCTCTGGTCTGCTGACCGAAAGTTCCACGTCCGGGTAGAAAATAGGTCCCCAAAGTCCAACAGCGGGACTTCAAAACGACTTATTTATGCGTAATAGGGAATTGAGCTCATGCAAATACCACATCTCTCTGAAATGTGACGTCACTGTTTTATGGCTAGAAATGCTGAAATGATGACACGTCTTCTGAATCTCATCACAAGAAGAGCGTGGTGCGCGTTGTGATCGTATTGCTGATAATGAAAATGTGTGTGGCCTCTCACGTTTTGAGAATTGGATGATTTTGTACCGATAAAACGTTTCTTGCTACTCTGTTGGGACTAGGCCTGATGGTTGGAGGTCGCCAATCGATCTTCTTTTCCCCCCGTAGCGTTTCTGTCTGTCTATCTTTTCCCATTTGGAGGGCGCCACTGTTAGGTCCTAGCTTCTTAATTGCCCCTTGGTTGTTTCTGTCTATGTCTTACTTTTCCCCCAGTACTAAACGACCATTATTGTGTCGGTGTTCTTCTCTTTGCTCGAACAATCTTATTTTTGTTGTTTTTGTTGTTTATTGTTGTTGGTGGTGGTGGGGTTTTTTTTATTGTCTTCCATTTTCTTTACTCTTTCCCTCTCCCCTTTCATCTGTTGGGTTGTTGTTTTTTCAGCTTACAAATTGTTCTAAATGCTAGTGTCTCAGGTATAAAGAGGTAAACCGACCGCCTTTTTTTCATTTTCACGGAGGGCG